GAATAGTGGGATGGACCGTCACATTATAACGCCCCCACGGCTGAAAGGGCAAGCATGTTTGGTGTGACGGGGATTTTAAGGAGATAAAGCAGAAAATCAGACCTATTTGCCATATCCTCCTCCTTTACAAATTGCCAGTCATTCTCTCCGATATTCAATACTATATTATTTATAATCAATAGAAAGCCAAAGTTTTATTATGTGAAATGACATATGTTGTTTTCTTTACAGAAAATTATCTATTTCTCTTCAAATTAAAACTTTTATTCCCACAGGAAACACACTGATAAGCTTAGGTGAATTTTTAACAGCTCTTATCACATAGTTAGAAAGCCAGAAAACTTAGGCTAGTTATAGGACATTGTCTGCTTTTTACATGTTATTATTCTGGGTTCTTAGTTGCATTGTTTAATTAAATAAAAATTTAATGTGGTAGTGCCATTAGTATAAAAAAGTAGGGTTAAGTTTTAATAGCAGTCGGAAGCAGAAAAAAAAAGATTTGGGTAAATACTATATTTCTTGTTTTTCAAGGGTCTACTTTATATGTTATTACAAAAGTAACTAAAATGTAAAGATTAGACATTTATTAGGTTAGATAAGGTAAAATAATGAATAATGATAAGAAAAAGTTTTTCACAAGGTACCCTTGTGAGTAACTCATGCATTACATAATTTGATATGGTAATGTGAAATACAAAAGATACACATTCACTTAACGACTTACAAATTGTGTGATAGGATTACTAATTAGACATGGTCAAAAGAATAATATCATAATAAAATTTAAGCAGAAATACATGTATACTGTTACAAGCTTGAAGCTATCAAGAATAAACAAATCTAGCTTCCTGCTACAATTTGAAGTCATTCTAGAAAGTAAAAAGTGTAATTCAGATGCATTTCTTATTTTTATTATAGTGGTTACAAGGTCTGTCAAGTCGACCAAATCTGTATAGATTTAGGGTAGAGAAAATACACATTTGAAATTTATTTAGGAGGTTTCAGAAATATGCAAATAAAATTTGACAATTTTTAGATGATAAAAGGTATTTTTAATCTTAACATGAAAATCACTTATCACTCGGGGAGCCAAAACTTTGACTCCATATATTCAAGGAGAATTTTTTAGTAAAAGTACTTCATTAAAAGTTCTGATTTGTTTGTCTACAAAAAATATTATTATGTTTACTGAAAGTTTTCATAATTTTGTGATAATACAAACATACAAGTTATAGTATGGAAACTCTAAAGGCTAATTTGGGGTCATGAACTTGGCCAAACAGAACAAGTCTGTAGTGAGAAAGTTAACTGTCTTCACATTTAGACCAGTACAGACCTTGGCTTCTCACCACGTACAGAAAGAACTTTCAAGAGAGTCTTGTGGAATGAACATACATATTAAAACAATAAGCAAGTCAAGCAGGCCTATTATATTTGTCATTCAATGTGACTGACAGTATTATCTTTATATCATAAAACTGGGATGTTTTTATCATAAAATTGGAACTTTTCTCAGGATACTGAGAGAAACTACCAGAAAATGGAACAGTTCTGGAAAAACAGAACATCTAGTCACCTTAATAATCAAACAATCATGTGAAAAATGCCAAAATAAAAGCCACAGCAGGACAACTGAGGATGGGAATGGCAGATAGAAAAACTTGAAGAATGACATGAATGGGATAAGAAGGTCACACAATCAAAGAGTCTGGCTCTGCAGGCAATGAACTGGACAAATCCCGCATGAGAAGAAAGGATGGCACCCCTGGGTGAAATAAAGATGTTTGAGGTCGGAGCAAGAGTGAGGACGTAAAGGCCTGGACATTCAAGACAATATTGAGGAGAATAATGAAATTATTTTGAGTGCAAGTGCTTAGAGGGAATAACTATGAAAGTCTGAAAGTCAGCTTTACTAAAATCAGGTAAAAACAATCATTATTAACTCTAAGGCTGGTTAGTGCTTTAATGAAGAGCAGATTTTGACCTTCAAAAGTTTGAACATATTACCAAATGCAGGTTCCAACCTTTGATAATATTAACCTGCATAATTTACTGCTGTTACCATAACTACTATGCTTATACTTGACTGAAAACCATTTGATTTTACATGTCATACATATAAATAGAAAAACACAATTAGTTTACAAATATGTTATATAGTACAGTAATCATGTTTTTATATTTTAAAAAAGTACACTTATGAACATGTATTTTATAATACATGCAATACTCGTACAATTACAAACAGTAAGCTTGTAAAACAACTGCAGCTGACTTCAGCAAAACAAATCTTTGTTTAACCCTATCGCGACAGGTAGGGATCAGAGGGCATGTCATCACATTTATAGATGTAGATAAAAAATTTGTTGAGTTACTATTTTACGACAATGTCAAACTTGGTATCAAACTGTAAATTATAATTTAAATGTTAATATTATACATTACCTAATTTCTTAATTTGAAAGTAAATATAAAAAAGGATGCTAAATATCGATTTGCGTGTGTGTGTGTGTGTGTGTCACACTGCTACGTCATCTTCTAGGTTCAGTCAGATTACATTTTATGACTCTCACAATACAACATCTATAGTTTCATCCGAATTATAAACTCAAATTTATGAGATTGAAAAGCAAGAATATAAAATAAGAACCTCCTACCTTTTCTATTTGCTGACATATCATAATATTTATTGAATCCGCCATATTGGCTCAGCCCCTACTTCATCATTCGAGAAGACTAGTTTATCTACTCCTGCTTTTCTATACCTATAAGTTTATAACCATTTGAAATCTTTACATTTCCTCTAAATAATTCTGTTAGTCTTTCAAAGTTATTTACAAGAGAAAAGCTCTTATATTGTTGGAAAGTTTGAAGTATTATTATCAATGCTATTTTCTGAACAGAAATTAGAATTTTTTTAGACCCAAGTATAGCCTAGTTAGGAAGCCTGGTAAATTACAATAATCTTTGTAGTATCAGTATTGTCATTTATGCTTTTTTGGTATTCAAAAATGCATCTATAAAGTCAACGAAAATTATTTTTTTCTACATCCACATGTGAATTTCAACAAAGCTTATGATAAGGGTTAGCAAGTACGACTCACAATGCAAAAAAGAATATCAAAACATCAGAAGTAGTGCAG